ATGTTTATTCATGATTCTTCATTTTAAACTTACTCTTACTGGTTATTCTTTAGCCAAGGGCTACCCTGCATTGTGTATGGTTCATATGAGGGTCCTTTCCTCACCAGAAGGTCATAATATGTGAAGATCAGGTCTTACAGAGGTTGCCATTTCCCTGTGATACCAAAGAGTCAGGGTAGTTACTCATGATCATGTTTGAATCAAGACAAGAATCCCCAAGGACTGTATGTTAGTAATTTCCAGTACTTATTTCAGCAGAGGTGAGGTTTAATCTTCTGAAATAAATGCATGCATTAAAAAAACCCAAATGTTTTTCCAAAAACACATTAATGGAAGTTGGGACTTTCTTTTGTTCAAAAACCAGTGCTGACTGGATTCCAAGGGTTTTTCCATGAATAGCATACCTTGGCTGTGTGTGGGAACAATTAGAAATAATTCTTCCTGGGTTGTCCCTCCTCCACCTGCATTGATCTGCTGTGTTGCTCGTGTCTCTCTTTCTAAGCTTTTCATAGAATAACAGAATCATTTAGGTTTGGAAAACGCCTTTAAGATCATTGAGTCCAACCATTAACCAAGCACTGTCAAGTGCACCACTAAATCATGTCCCTAAGCGCCACATCTACACATCTTTACATGTTTTTAGGGAAAGTGACCCAACCACTTCTCTGTGAAGCCTTTTCCAGTGCTTGCCAACCCTTTCAGTGAGAAGATTTTTCATAATATCTAATCTAAAGCTCCCCTGGAACAAATTAAGGCCATTTCCTCTTGTTCTATCACTTGTTACATGGGAGAAGAGACTGACTCCTACCTTGCCACAACATTCTTTCGGGCAGGTTGTAGAGAGCAATAAGGTGTTACCTGAACCTCCTTCACTCCAGGCTAAACACGCCCAGCTCCCTCAACAATTCCACACAAGACTTGTGCTCCAGCCCCTTCATCAGCTATGTTCCCTTTCTCTGGACATGCTCCAGCACCTTAACGGCCTTCTTGTAGTGAGGGGCCAAAACTGAATGCAGAACTCAAAATGCAGCCAACTTCTTGAGCTCTGATTAGCTCAAATAATTTTGGGCAATCTGAAGATGTTTTTCTGGTCTTTCTTTTCTGCTTCCTCTTCTGTGTTTTACTCGCAGTAGGAATCCTCCTTGCAGGGCAGTGCCAGCTCTCCCCACTTAGAAACTACGTGTGCATTTTTGCTCTCTGTTGGTGATTTTTTGTGTGGGAAGGGAACAAAGCGAGATGTGGTCTCTTACCTGATTTTTATCTATGCCATGTTTGCAGTTCACTAAATGTTATTGAGCTTTGTCCAACTTCTAAGTATTAGAGAAGAGAGGCTCTTACTGCATACTAACTTAGGGATGTTCAGATGAGTTGTCTGCAACCACCAAGATAACGGCAGTGGTCCAAAATTTGTTAGCCTGCTGTCTTGTGGGACAGTTGGTATTTGCAGTGACAGTTTGTTTTTGCTTACTACCAGACAATCTTAATGGCTTCAGCTGCCACTACTTCTGTACTTTCATACTTTTAACTGTCTGAATAATCCAATTAATTTCACTAGCATGCATAAAACAGAGCTTGTGCTTAACTATTCAGAAATAGCAATGTCAAAAGCCTTTACTGAAACTATCTTCTCCAAAATGTATCACTTTCTTTCAGCATCTTATTTGACCCCTTATTTTCCAGCCATCCCTCAGTTTTATTAATCATGTATCTCTTCAAAATGACTGGTGGTAGATACATGCAAATAGATCATTTAATTTTCCTGCAATGTCTTTATCCTCTTTAATTGTTCCCATTGCACCCTGGTACTCCACTGAGCCTTTTGGTTCTCTTACAGCCTGCTTACACCTCTTATAATTAAGTAATTTCTTCTTATTTGTTTTCATGTTATGCCTTTGGCTAATCTCCCCACCAAATCCCTCAGCTAAACCATCTTCATTTTTGCTTTACATTATTGTTCCATACCACTAGCTTCTGTTGGGCTAACTTCCCATTTTCCAAAGGGTATTTGAAGAGCCTCTTTTGTGGTACCTTTCCATTCAGCCAAGGCAGATAGGCACTCTCCCTCCCTCCTCCTTTTTGTCTTTCTGAGGCTTGTGCAAATCTTTTGTAGCTCATTAGTGGCTCACTTCAGTAAGCTCCATGCTGAATCCTTGCAGGACCTTACACATTTCCTTTTGTGCAATAGTAGTTTGTTTCACTTTTTTTTCTGTGTGAGAGGGTTAAACTGGTGAGGAAGGGGATTGAAGGAGGGAAGGGAACATTAAGCAAAAGAACAAAAACTGAAGCAAGTGGCTCTGTGTTCATGCATAGAAAATTATTTGGATGCAAATCAGTCACACAGCTGAATGATTTGTCTCAAAGCCCAAAGATTAAGGAGCAGAGGGCTTCAGCCTCAAGTGGCACTCCGTCTGATTTCTATCCAGACTCTGCATTCACAAAACAGTGTGCCTGCAAATAAACCACCTGGAGGACTTGTATGCTGCTTTCATGTCTCCCTGTACTCATCTGAAAAACAGCTTTGTGTTCACAGTGAGTTATTTACTACATGATGTCTTAAAACTGCAAATAAATAGAGAAGGGAGGGTTGTAGGCAGGGAGAGAGACAGATTAATTACAAACTAAGAAAACTGGGTGCCATATCTTCCAGGTAAATAATTTCTACTGAAAGTACAGGGAAGTTCAGGTGAGTAATTGCTTGATAAACTGGCAATATATGTAGACACACAAACAAAGACTGGGATTTCTCAGTATAGAGTCCAAGGGTAAGATTTTGAACTCAAATATTTAATTGTTACTTAGAATTTAAGTGGACTACAGAAGATGCTTTGTATGTACCATTCCCAGATAGCCCTACTGAAATAATTATGCAGGCTTTAAAAACATTAGAGGTAGCAGGATCATAAATATAAATTTGAATGTACTCCTAAGAAAATTTCTTCCCGCAAATGGAGAATGAAATCTTATCACAGTGTGGCTCTGTTTTCACACCTTTGGTAATAACAAACATCCAGGTCATTCTAAGGGTCACAACCTAAATCGAAGTTAGGATTATAGTTAAATTGAAGTCAAGATTATTCCATCTTCCCCAGTCTAGCCAGAAAGCCCATCCATGGGTGATGATATTATTCTGCACTGATGCCAATAAGAGTGCAAAGAAGCATGTGTGTGAGCATGCTTTTGGAGCTACTGCACACCTCTGGGAGCTTCTGTGGGACAGTTCTTATGGAAGGCTGACCACCTTGAAGAGGAATGCTGGGGTAGTGTAGGATATATTAAGTAGATAGGTCCAGGGGTATATTTGATTTTTTCACGTTTGAGAGTGTAGTCATCTGATGATGCTGCTTGAAAGACGTCATTTTTTTCAGCTGGGCAATAGGTAGTATATCAGAGTTTTTCAAAATAAATTTAGGCTAAAAATAAATGTCAAGTGCCAGTCCAGTCAGTATGCCTTTACCTTACATTGCTAAGGAAATACTTTCTCAGTTTTTCTGTTTAGCACAACTTCCCCACAGGATTTGAAAAGGTCAAGGTTGTCCTGTAACTGTAAATGAGGGAGAGGTGATTTGGTACCCAGCAGCAACAAAATTAAATATCTTGAAGCTCTATTTATTGTCTCAGCAATTATACTTCAGAGAAACTTCTAACTTTTACAGAAAGGCAGAGTTCAGAAGTAGCTTTTTCAAGGAACCAGGTCTTTAGAGAAAGAACTTACATTTCCACTCAAAACATGCTGAGAGAAAAGAGCAAGAATAAGAAAACACTTCACCTTTTTCCTCTGATAGAAATTTACCATGTGTTGATGCTATTCAGGGGTAGAGGTCTTGATGGCAGAGAAGTTAGTTTCAACTGCACATAGGTTTTTTATCTCAGGCAGAATTTGAAGCAATGCTCTTGAAGACTTAGAGGACTTGTTTTAAAGTAAAGAAAACAGCAGAAAAGGACTAAATTAAAATCTCCATGGGAGAACATGGTGTGAACCTTCCCTGTAAGATGCCTCAGGCCTCATCAAAACTTGAGAATTATGCAGAGGTTAAGCAGATTGCATTAGCAGTATGTTACAATTTCGTTTTAGACAAGGCTAAGCTGTAATTTCTGAAGCTTTCTTTATTTCTTGTTCTTTAAAAGAATCTATTGTTGTAAATCATCTGAATGGGAAGGACAGATGAGAAGAACTGCCTGATTCAGCTTACTCAGGTGTAAATATGGACTAAGTCATTAAAGTGTCCAACTGTTTTGTAAAATGTATGAGGGAGAAGTAGAAAGTGGCCCAAGCTTCCCAGTACGGACTTGGACATTAAAGAAAACATTTCAACATTTTCTTCTCCATTACTTGCTATATCCTTCATGGCCTCCAAGGTTTTTAATTATTCTCCAAGAGCTGAGGGAAGCCTTGCAGCCAGCTTATCGTAGCTGATAATTAATAAAGAGTTCCCATTTTAAATGGGTGTAACCATTTTTCATGTTGCATTTGGTTTGCAGAAATAAGGCAACAGTCAAACTTTATTGTGCAAAGCCTTGGATTATTCCCTCCACTCAAACAGGAAGGCACCTAGTTGTAACCATGTCTTTTATACTTTTATTGTACTCATTTATTCCCTTTTCTGAAAAGAAGGGAGACGAACAAGGAAAAATGGTAAAGTATATCCAAACGAGCAAGAGTTTAAACTGATAGCTTGAATTTGTTTCATTTCACCACAGACAAATAGTTTGCCAATGTAGCTTAACTAAAATCTATTGTAAGGAATGCCAGAAGAATTGAGGAGATCTCATTCAGTGTTTATTTTTTCCACCAGTGAGCGAGATTTATCACACTGAGGAGGGAAATGTGAGTTTTAGAGCAGGAGCTCTTTAATGACATCTCTGAAACAACTCTCTTTTCAGAAGAATTCTGCCAGAATGAGTCCCTGTACCTCGCTCATGCCACATCCACAGCAAAGCTGAGTATCTTGAGGTTTGAAGATAACTGCAACCATTGATTTTTTTTTCTACTTTGGCTTTAGGAACTCCTTCATAGATATCCTTCGGGCTATTCTACTTTCCTTAGAAGTGCTCATCGAAGATCAGGAGCTTCAGATAAATGGCTTCATTCTAATTATAGACTGGAGCAACTTCTCTTTCAAGCAAGCCTCCAAGCTTACACCATCTATCCTCAAACTGGCCATTGAAGGGTTACAGGTAAGTGGAGGGTAACACATGTACTTGCAACTTTTATTGCTACAGACAGTCATTTTTGTCTCATCAGGCACTGGGCAAAGTGAAGGGTATAGAAAATAATCCAGAATGCTTTCATGTCCCATGTACTTGCAGCATAGATTGATTTTCAGACATCTCCTTTTGTCTGTCTTTCACTTCTATTTCAGCCATAAATCAGTGTAACCAATATGTGTGTTACTTAATGCAGCATTAAAAGAAGGAGGGTTAGAGATTTGAGGTTTAATCCATCAGAGAATTTGGGGGGATTAAAATCCAGCAGTGTCTGCCTTCTGGAGCGCGCAGTCCACATGCAAGCACATATGTGTGCAGAGGGAGGGTGGTAGGAGAAGAGAGCAGCTCCCTGAGCAGATGGAAGAGTGCTGTTGTGTTCACGTGCATGCATTTGAGTTGGAGGGAAATGAAGAAGAGGGAGGACAGGCTCCCTGTTGTGCCCTCATTCTGACTGCCTTTATTTGTCACACAGGATCCTGTTACATTATGGTTCAGACTGTTCAGGGGCTGCACGTCCACTTGGTGCTTGCAGATAAATAGGAGCAAGCTTAAACCATGTGCTGTTACAGGGTTAGGTAGTAAGGAGCAACCTGAAGATGAGGCAACCTGAGGATGAGAATAAACTGTGGTGCTCAGAAAGGACTTCTTTCCACTAAAGTCTGAGCCCATTCCTGCTGTTAGACCTGAGATTGATTTTTAGGTCTAAAAGTAGTCTGACATAACCTTATTAATTGAGGGCATTTGATAGAACTCAAGGACTATTTAGGTTGTAAGAAGCTCTGGAGATCACTTTATCTGACCCCCTGCTCAAAGCAGGGCTGACCTCAGTCTTATACCAGGTTGCCCAAGGACCACATACTTCATGTAGCTACATATTTAAAAAGAGAGATTATAAGTTATTGAGTTTTCATTTTATTTTTAGTACTTACTAGATATCCTGCAGTCATAAATACCTCAACAATAATTTTCCATGGGGTGCGTATGTTTATTTTAACTCTAACTTATGTAATAGAAAGAACAGTTTGTTCAACTAATTTTTTGACTAACAAATAGTCTACAATTAGATAATAATTGTCTCTACTTCATGTTATTATTCAAAAATGAGGTAGAAAAATCTGCTATCAGTTTTAAGCCTGTGTTCCCCTTTGTGAGGAATTTTCATCTATTCTAACAAATTAGAAAGTCAAGCTGTGCAATTAGTCCTTTGGACAATACCTTGTCTTTTCCTGTTGATATTATCACTTCATTCTCTGGTTCAAAACAACCCCTCCAATCAGAAGGAAGATAAAGCCAAGTGACATCCACAAGAAAATCAAATTCTAGCAAGTCGTCCTTGTGCCTGCCCAAATTTTGCTTTTCCATCTATTTGGTAGGAGTCCAATCCAGCCTCCACCCCGTCTGATCTCTGGCCATGGCACTGCCAGGTTGCCTGCCTACAGTTTATTTGCAGTTGTTGGCAACAATATGTTTCGGGAAGTACTGAAGCCTGAGAGTACCAAAGCTGATCTTAAGATTGTGTCATTAGCCTTACATCCTGTGCTGGGTAATTTAAGGAGGCTGCCTTTCTCATGTCTGTGTGGGCATTTCATTTTTTATTTAAAGTCAAGTTACTGTTGTCTTCTCTGCGATTACTAGAAATATAACTCTCTTTAAAAGTACAAATTGGGATAACATGTCCTAGACTTAACTAACCACTGGATTGATGAGTTGTAGGAGTTGTGAATGCCGCACTCCAATTTACTAGGCTTAGAAGCAAGTCATTCATGCTCATAAAGCACATATTTAGCAAACAGTGATGGTGGGAACCTTTTAGTTTTGGGGTTTTTTGGCTCTCACTACTGCTGTTGAAGTATTTTCATTGAGACTTTGTTCTAATATTATTTTAAACGAACTACTGCTATCCTAGTGTAAAATTTGTGTAAAATGTAGTTGAAGTGGAGATGAGACTTACATACAGAAAAAGTGTCACAATATGAGTTGCATTGGAGGCCATTGAAAGTAAAAAAGTCAGGTCCTACTCTCATGAGCTGATGATGTTTGGAAAAAATTGAGATTGTTTCAGTTCCTGTTTATTTCCCACAGCTAAGGCACTGGGCGTGTACAGATCCTCAGATAGGCAGATAACATGGCTATCTCAATCTTCCTTTATAAAAAGAAATTTTGGGTTGCATTAAGTCCTGTGTAAGTCTAAGTGGATGGAAAGAAAATATTTCTCTCTTACAATTTCTACTGGAATTGAACCCATATGTTCACATGTGGATATCTGGGCCAGGAACTTTTAACCTCTCTCTATGTAATGGTAATTTTAATGCCATCGCTGAACCATTTTCCCATAGTTTCTTAAACTCTTATTCAGTGTCTCAGACCACCTCATTCTGAAATATAGAATTGCTTAAAAATAAATAGTATTTAATAATTTATGCAGTTGGGTTTTTTCTTATTTTCAAGTTGCTTTCAGTCAATTAATATATTGTCACTTTTGTGTGTGTATGTTTGTATTTAATGTATTTTTCCTCAAGTTGCTGATGCAATGCATTATCATTAAGTGCAGACAACAAGCATTACGCAGATACATATGTTAATTCATCTTGTGTTGTAAAACAAACACTAGTCAAATCTAATGAACTTGGCTGCAGAAATTAATATATTGCTATTACACCAGCTGATCAGTTCCAAATACTGTCTGTAAATACTTAAAAAGATGAAGTAGGATTGACATCACCACGTCTGAATGCACATTTTGCTCAATACTACTCCTTGTTCTGTATGGATTTCTGTATGTATTGCATTACACAGACAGTTCATTATAACTCAACAGGGCACCTACTCTGTTTCTCAATTATGCTATTTAATGACCTAAAAACAGCCTTATGTCTCCACTTTAAACTACAGTAGTTCAGATGCTAAACAAGTGTTTGTACAGTGTGGTAATTCTCATTATGTCACAGCAGTGCAGGGATGAATGTGTTCTTAGTGCCTTAACCCTCTCTGATTAACAAGCTTTGGTGTTTTATCACAAGACAATTGCTACTGTATGCTTTGAGTTCATGCCATGCTCCTTCCTAGACCTTACTGATCTTTTGAGTTTTACCACATTGAACACAAGATTGTCATGTGGATGGAAACATGGGGAAAGAGATGTGTGTAAAACCAATCTATTTTGCCAACAACTTGGTGAGTTTTGACTTCTAATCCTTATTCTTTTAATGTGAACAGCTTTTCTCCTTCACAGCATATTTTTTCCCCTGTTTTCTTCATCTGTGAAATTATAGTTCTCTGTGTGTCATGCTGAGCTTATAATTATCCTGTGATAGTAGACAAAATTTAATTATGGCTTAAGTTAACCAGAGACTAATATTTTGTTATTTTGTGTAGCGGTTTAGAGTTCAATAGCAAAGGTAAGAAGTCCATTTGCAATCATGAAGCAGGTATAGCAAGTAAGAAGTGGTCACTTCTTAGTATGCAGGATGTTTGCTACTAACCACTGCATTTGGAGACCTCTAATAATCATGGGAAGTGTTACAGTGTACAGGCTGTGTCCTGTGAAGTCCAGCCTTTTTTTTTTTTTTTTAATGGTTGTTGGTTTCTGCTCTTAAGATGTAGTTACTTTGCCTCCAGACAGGACTTTTGATTTTAGGGTGCTTCTACTAGTGACTATAGAGAAAGACTACTTCAGATTTCTCCAACACCATAGCTATGCACTGCAGTTTGTGTACATGCATGCACATGACAATTTAAAATTCCATCAGCTAGTACTCTGAACTGAAATGCAACAGTTTCTCTATCAGTAGCCAGAAATATTCCAAAACCTTCAAAACAGCAGGTTTGACCTCACCTGCCATTTTTTTGGTGAAAACTAAGCCAGAAGGCCATGGTCTACTAAGACCCAGCTGAGTGGCTTATGACACAAATCAGCCAGCTGGATTCAAAACTGACCTGAAGATCAGGTTTGCAATCCAGTGTACCTAGTACTGCCTCACATAAAGGTTAACTTTCCCCAAGGCTGTCTCAAGGAACTGAAACAACAAGTAGGGTGAATGGTTATTTCCTGTATTCTTTCTTTCTCTGATAGTTGTCACATGCAGTTCTACTCATATGTGATGACAGTGACTCTTAAAAAAGAAGCCCTATGCCTACTTTGTGACAATGATGAATCACTGCAGGAGTGCTCTTTAGGGTTCAATAAGGCTTTGATTTAGATGTCACAGTCATTACAGCAAATAGCAGTAATAACAGGGAACAACCAAGATCTGCAAACAGGAATTTGTCCCCAGATTTTCACTAGTAGTAGCTTGACAGAAGATTTGACCAACAAAGTACATTAGGAGATCCATTACATTTTTTTTTTTAAATTATCTTCAGTTTATCATAAGCCAGTAATTTCTGGGAGGAGAGGAAAATTAAAGGAAATCAATAATGCTTGACTTAAGAACACTTTAATCAGATACTGGTATAGAAAAAAATCTTCTGAAAAAAATCTTCAAATAAGGGAAACTTGAATATGCTTGTCTTAGGAAATTGTTCAAGATACATTTGTCCAGAATAGTTCTAATGTTCAGAGGAAGTCAGATAATCAAAGTAACAGGTTTGTTTAGACATTACCGGAGATTATCTCACTTCAAAATCTGGAATGAAATGCCAGATTATGGAAAACTCAATCTGTTTAGAAATGTACGAAGCTTTTTCATCTTTAATATGAGCAATAGATATAAAAAGTCTTTTTATAAAATTTCCTCCAACTGTAATTATGTGGGATCGAGAAACTTACTGTCAGTTAAATTGTAGAAGCAAATTACTTATCTTTTGACACTATCTTATACAATCAAATATTTTTCATTTTGTGCTTCAGAAGGAGGAGCTATAATATAAAATATTCTCAAAATTCAAAATAGAATGTAGAGCTTGAAGGAAAAAATGCAATTCAATATTATGTCAAAGGTGTAATTTTTTTGTATGCTTGTTTTTCCAAA